AGTAGCTATTATCACAAAGTAAAACCATCTAGACTTAAATTTGTGATTACGACAGCTTATTACCAATCTGTCCTCTGGGTAAAAAAGTCAAACAAGAGAGAGATATGTGGGCAGAAATGCCACAACAGACTATGTGTTCCACTTGAGCACAGCTTCCACAGTGAAGAAGCGAACACATGAAAGACATAACATGTCAATTGTTCTATCAAGATCATGCAGAGCTGAGATTGAGTTGTGTGATTCTTGACTTCTCTTTAGAGTTTCCTGATATACATACAAGTTACAAATTAATATTAATTGTATATTCATGAGTAATATAAAAGTGTTGCAACAAATATCCGTGTACTTACTGTGAGATAATTAAAATATATGTTTGGATAATTTAACCTCTTCCTACCACAAATATGCTACAATATAAATTTCCTGGTGATTTCACATTGAATGTCTGTTATTTGTTTAAGGGTATTTTTCCATTCTTCAGTGACCAATGATTAAAAACTAGAGGTTTCAGAGAGTTGTGCTGATTTAAGTGAAAGAAAATAACCACAGTAATTTATTTAAAAATGAATGAGATCATATCATATAAATTTGCTTATTCAAGGATTTTGGGATTTTTTTCTACCATTATTAGTAAGAGACTGGAGTTATCCTGTTTAATTACTGAGGACTCTGTTAAACTAGAGAAAGCCTGAATCTTAAAAAAAAACAGTCTTCCTTTGAGAAGACATACATAGAAATGTTGACCAACACTCGAGAGTAAGACATTTTTCCTACTGAGTTGCAATACCACCAGGAATTTAATATTACAAAGTTTATTCTGAGTTAGGAAAACTAATCATGCTGATGTCTCTCTATGTTTTGTGGACAACTATAGTGACATTTTGAATCTATGGACCTGTCTGTCCCTGCCAGAAGAAAAGTCTATGCACTTTAAAAGATTATGGAAATTAATAGTATATTTAGGTCCATTTTAAAATGAGTGTTAGTTGAGAATGTCAAGATTTAAGTATAAATTGATAATAGTACCAAATGATTTACTTAATTGATTACCATGTAAGATCCTTTTAAAGTTATTGCAACTAATATTCCAGAGACCAATATTTAATAATCAAAGAGAACACATAATGAAATATGCAATTAGTTCCCTTTGCATGCAACTATCAAAACAATAAGAACTTTATTACAGTTTACAAATCATGTTCCAGAGAGAACACAGTCATAAAGGAAAGCTAGGTGCAACTTCAAGACTCTAAATGAGTGGCCTGAGATAGGAGTACAATGATCTTCCTTCCATACAACAAGTACCTGATGTAGAAACTCATCGTCAAGGTGCTATGAAAGTACAAAGGCTTTTTTATTAAAAAGCTTTACAAATATATAAAGTTTTATCTCCAAGGTTGACAAGCTTTTAGGTTTCTATTGAAAAAGTTCTAAGTTGTTTCCAAACTCCTTGAGCAAATCTAATAATCTAGTCTCTATAGAAAAAGGCACTACTTTAAAAACATTAAAATTGTAACATGTTTACACTTCTACAATTTACCCACATTCTGCAAAACAAATTGCATACTTCCGTGTTATGTGCAAGTTTTTCTTTCTCACATAAAGCTATTTTCTTGCAAGTTGTTCCTAAGGAAGTTGCAGACCAAAATAGTGCATCAAGAGGACTGGCATAATCAGCTTCACTAAAAGCAGCTTGATTAATACTAAATATGTCCTAGTTCCTAATCAATTATGTTAATGTAGTCACAGGCTGCACATCTGAAATGCTTGACAAAGCAACTGAGCTTAGCCTGTGTGGATACAGTCTGCTTCTTGGGAGTTGTTTAGTACTAGAAGCCTCAATAAGAGGGCCCTGTTTCTCTGCACACAAGCTGTTCCTATTTGCAAAAGGCTCACAGTCTCCAAAGACTGTTAATTTATTCACTCAAACATAATATGGAATCTAGGGATGAATTGACAAATTAATCATCCTTTAATTGTGATAAAGATCCCATTGTAAAAATTATACATCATTTTCCAGGTGTCAGGTTGAAAGGCAAAACATTTTTATTAGCGTTTTATGAACTTCAGCAAGGAGATCAATTAGAGCAAACATTTGAAGAATCCTACTATCAAAGAGTGCCTATAGTTACAAAATCTGAGTTACTTGATTTGTGACCAACTCTTTAGAATCCAATGACGTTTATGAGGACACTAATATATGTAAGTGTTGGCTTCTTCTGTTAACATTGGGCATGGAGATGTCAGCCTGGCAGTTTATGTAAGTTATTTAAGTTACTTGAGCTGCTAAAGTCCATATTCAAAAAAGAATATGCATTTTATTTTTCTTCTTTATTTTATGTTTCGGGATTTGTATTTCTGGGTTCTAGAATATTTGTTCTAAGTTCCTTTTTCCCTTTTCTTTAAATATACATGATCATAGTTGAGATTTTCAAAGTTTTGTTGTTATTTAACTTCAATATGAACTCTTAACTTACATCAAAGTACATCAAAGCAAGTACAAAGAATGATAAAGACTAGATGTATGTTGTTTCTAAAAAAATGATAAAGCAATTGGCTTCTCAAAACAATTTAAGCAAATATAATTGCATAAGGTAGACATTTAAATTTGCTTTCACTAAGCTTAAAGCTTACCAAAGATTGCAAACTGAATATGTCATCATTTATGTCAAGATCTTCATGCTGAATTACTGAGTCTCAATGTAACTATTAAAGATGGAGTCTTTTGGGAAGATTATGGTTGAATGAGTTCATGTTGGCAGAATCCTTATAGACCTGCCTCCACTATAGAAGGAGGAACATCAGAGCATGACTTCTCTACGTTTGGGACCGAGTGTGAGAAAGATGCTTAGAAAATTATCCTCTGAATCTATCAGGGCTGAAACCCTTATGTTAGCCTTCAAGTTTCCAGAATTATAAGAAAATAAGTTCTTATCCTGTAAGCTACCCAGTCTACTGTGCCTTGGTAAGGCTTTTCCTTGCATCTCAGAGAACACGGTTAATCAGGCAAACTTATACATCAACATTTAACACATTGTTCACTCACAAAGAAGTAATGTCTGGAGACAAGTTGAGGAATGGGTTAATTAAGACATGGAAGTGGAGACCATAGTGTCTTGTTCTAGCCAGAGGATCACACTGACAAATAAGTATAAGGGCAAAACAAAACACCTTGTAACTGAAGGGAACAGAAAACATAAGTTCTATAGCTTTGACTAGATTGTAGCATTCTCTAAACACTAAAGACTGTCCCTGAAGAGTGTGAGCAAGGTATTTATGTACTCTTCACTAAGGCATAGATTCTAACAATCACATGAAAGCAACTTTTTGCTTCCTAGTTTGGAATTAATGTAGTGCTGACTTACAGTTTGCTTAGGGATTTTGTTTAAAATTTGAAACCCATTATTCATCAAATTCCTTTAGCTAACCAAACCGAAATATTTACACACTATATAACAGGTCATTATAATTCATAATCGGCATGCGACTCCTTACCTGCTTTCTGTTGACATTTATCTGACTGTCTTATAAAAGAGGCAGATACTTAGCTTGAACTGTTTGGTGTTTGTTCAGAGAATGAGAAATCAAATTGTCTACATAACTGACATTCTAGTCACTCTGAATGCCATCTTTAGCCAAGGTTTTCAAGGCACTCAATTAAATTAATAGCATTCTTGGAAACGTGTGGCAGTTCAGAGCAGATAGGAATTTAACACTCAAAACATGTTCCTGAAATAGCAGCATCAACCACACTTGATAGATAAAAATGCTTAAGTTCAGGACCCAGCCTAGACTTGGTGAATTAGAGGCCATGTTTTCACAGGAGTATGAGGTAATATGTATGTACCTTCAGTTCTGAGAATTACTGCTAGGGTAGTCCTGAGTACCACCAAAACATACTGTTTTCATTAGAAACCTGCATGGAACTCACCATCAATAGTAAAGCATATTTCCTTCTGCGTGTATACACAGGCCACTTCTTTGATGAAGCCTTGATAGTGTGAGCCTGTCATGACCATGTATGGAAACCAGAAGCAATGGGCAGCTATTGGACAGTGTGTGAAGAATGTGCATGAGGAGGGGGCATAACTGTGAACTGTGCACAAAGTCTCTTTTGGTAGTGAGGAAATGCGGACAATTTGTATTGGTAGTGACATAAAACATTAGTTGCACATTTGCTTAGATTATTTGTGCTTTTACATTGCTAAACTGTATTAGAATGGTGGGAGCAGTATTTTAATTTATTAGTGAATTTCTGACAATTAGTAAAATATCTTACATGATCTCGTTGGGACTTACTTTGAAAATACTAAAGATAACTAGTGGATAAGACTTGAAGAAATGACTAAGTTTCTAGCAGAACTGATTACAGTGACTTCCCTCTTATTTTGCTGAGGATAGTGTTTGTTTACTTTGTTTTTGCTTTATTTGTTTTTGTTTTGTCCTTCCAAGGTCCTATTCTGAAGAATTATTGTTGGTCATAACTACAAATTGCATATAGCACATATAAACTAAGTACAGTTTCATCCCTTTCATAAATGTAGTCTGCCCATGAAAATTTAATAACATCTAGAAGGCCGTAGAGTAGTCAATTTAAATAACTCCCAAGTTTGGATAATTCATAAAATGTAGGGTTCAAATGCAGACCCTGTCATGTAAGTCTTTAAATACCAATTATCCAAGCCATGGTGAAACTGCTGAATGGCAAGCCATATTCTTGCCCATTTCTTCTTTCAGTTTCAGGGTAGGACACTGGTCTTCCTCCAAGAAGGCAGAGTTCACCCATATGAAATTCTATCTTAGAAACTTTTATTTTCTACAAAGACATAAATTGAAATTTCAAGAAAACAAAAATTTGCCTTCTGAATAGTAAATTTACGTAAGAAAATACTGGGACTTCTTTTAATTTTGTTATTTTATTTTGTCTTTTCATATTATTTTTTAATCTACAATAGAATTATTTATGTGGGGGGAAAAACACTGCAAAACTTAGTACTTGCCTTGAGGAGCTGGAGTTGACAGAGCAGGTCTAAAAGCTGGTGCTGCCGGTGGTGGTGGTGGTAAGGCTGGGCTTTGTCCTGTGCATGCCAAGCAGGAGATGAAAAAATGTTAATAGATTGAACATCCATAACTAAAATAGCTAGATCTATCTCATGCATGCATAATTCATAATTCTGAGTTATTAATTAATACTCTTATGCAGCGAGGAAACTGTTACAAGGTGACATCTTTAAGATGATGAGCCCACGGATTCTGTTATCTCCAGTGCTAGTTCTGGACATAATTATTTTTCACAGATGTATATCCAATGTCAGACCCCTCTACTGGATTGCATGATGGGAAATCTACATGTGATCAAGTAAAGCAATTTTTTGTTTTGAATTGCACTTGAGATTATGGAAACTAAAATCATAGAAGCAGAGAAGGATCCCAATCTGCAGAGAAGTATCACTTTTTTTTCATTTATAAAATCTTCCCAATGGTCAGGTGGTGGTGGCACACGCCTTTAATCCCAGCCCTCGGGAGGCAGAGGCAGGCGGTTCTCTGTGAGTTCGAGGCCAGGCTGGACCGACAGCATCCAAAACAATACAGAGAAACCCTGTCTCGTAAAAACCAAAAAAAAAATCTCTCCAATGACATAGTAGGGCAATAAAAGAAGGTTGAAAATTCATAGCCCTTTTTGATATTAAACCAGTGCATTTCATTTCCCCTGTCAAAGTGAATGACCTGGAGTTGAGTAAATAATTAGCAGAAGATAAAATATATTCAGATATATAGAAACTTGAAGGGTCCTCTCGAGTTTCTGAGCTCATTATTAAGTGAACCAACAACAAAATTTCCACAATCATTCTAAGTCCTTTTCCATCCTGATTATTTCTTTAATTAACCAATACAATTGGAATCATGAACTGTAATAGTAGCTATCTCATGGTGCCATATGAACTACTTGCATAAAGTTTTACTATTAATTGCCAACTCATAAGCTCTTGCTGTGTGTTTTGATGTAGGAATTGACATGGGCATGGGTCCTTTGAAAATCTCTCTGGCAACTAGATATTATCAAATGTCAGCAGACATGCAGGCTTAGTGGGAGCTTTTCAGTTTTAGAAATCTTGAAAATTAGTTCTCTGTGGCAAATTACTGTGCAGCAAATGGCACAATCAGAGTTTTATACATACTGCCTCCTAGGCCTATGTCCTCATATCAAACAGAATTCAGCCTTCACTCAATACATAATTTTCTTTTATTTGTTAAAATTAGACAGACTGATTTAGGAGTGCGTTCCAGTATGAAAAAACCAAACAGATGAGTGCATGGAATACAGGCTATATACCCAGAAAATATAAGACTATATTTTCATTTTTTCCTCATGGGAACAAGACTTGATAGGTAACATATAAATTCAGTGAGTCAAAAGAAGGTAGGGCTTGAGAAGGCCGAAACAGAGTTTGACACATCTAATCTCTCCATAGCATTTATATATATATGCTTACAACATACCAGAAATTATGCATATTTCATATATCATGCATTAAAGCTTTTAACATTTACAAGATGATCAGGGATAGCTATGATACTCTCTAGAGTTTTTAAAAATTAGTCAAATGTAATTATGACATCCAGTTCCTAAGGAATGGACCTGACTCTGGATGCAGGCTCAGAATTGCAATGAAAAATGTTGCTCACCAATGCCCTGAGGCTGGCAGAGGGCCTGTATCTATAAGGGCTCAGCTCAAAACAACAAAGCCCCTTCTCTAAATTTCTGATTTGTTGTAGGCAAATGTATTATATACTGGGAAGGATCTGGAAAACTCTTAACAAATATTTCTAAGATAAAAATATATGCATGCATGCATACATACATACACATACATACACATATACATACATATATATATACATATACAGACAAATAGTGAAGCAATAAGCATGCTGGTGCTTCAGTGGCATAACTTACATACAGTATTCATTTCTCACCACAGATTCTTCACAGTCACAAATACTTTAGTATGCTCTGCCAAATGTCTGGTTAGGGTTAGTGAGAAGACTTGCTTGGTAAAATCCTTTTAATGTAATCATGAGAAGCAAAGCATGAGCCCCAGAATCAATGTCATGGATGCATGTGTGATCCCGACATGGCTATAATAATATGGGATGTTGTCCTGTCTAGATTTTCTTTTGTCAGCTTGACACCGGGGAAGAGGAACTGCAATTGAGACAATGCCTAGGACTTCCTGTACACAAAGCTGCAGGCCATTTTCTCGATTACTGACTGATATTGGAGGGGCCCAGCTCACTGAGGGTAGTGCCACCCTGGGGCTCTGTTCTTGGATTGTATAAGCAAGCAGGCTTTGGAGGACAAGCCATGTGAAGCAAGCAAGTGAGCACCACTCCTCCATGGCTTCTGCTTTTCTTCCTTCTTCCACGTTTCTGCCCTGAGTTCCCTCCTGACTTCCTTCACTGATGGATTGTGATCTGAAAATGCAAGATGAAATGAACCCTTTCTTCTCAAACTTGCTTTTGATCGTCGTAGTTCATCACAGCAATAGAAACCATAAACAAAAATTGATATCAGGAGTAGGGTACTGCTGTTATAGATCTGGCAATATGTATTTTTATGGGGATTAGGGAACAACTTTGAAACTTTAGGCTGAGTGTTCAAGGTTAATGTGGGAACAAAGAAGATAATGCTGAGAGACATACAGATGATGGAATGTGGGTGTGTGAACTTTTATAGGGACATTTGGGAATCCCTTAAAGACTCAATCAAGGACATTCAATATTTTGAGTTAAGAATCTGTGGTTCTGGTTGCATGGACTTGGTTAAAGAAAGACTGGCATCACTGACACCAAGTGCTCTGGGAAGTATTTCTTCAGGGTCAGCACATAGAAGCTGTGTTCCAGAAAGGACCAAGGCGGATGCCAAACTTGGTGATGTGCAAGAGTCTCCCAAGTTGTATTGTTTTTGAAGGCATTAAGGGGTTTAGGGAGAGCAGGTGAAGCCTGACTCTGTGGTACAGCTTTGGTGAATGTTCATATACAATTGTGTTAGAAGCCAGAGGGTTAAAGGGATTGGGGAGCAAAGTTGAGGTTTGCCACCATATTGCAAGTTTGGAAATCTGAAAGAGAATCCAATTAAGGCAACTCATAGTAGCATGGCACAGTAACAGTGGAGACCAAAAGCTTTTGGAGATGCCACAACCATGGGACTACCACCATAGATGGTAGTCAGTGCAACTCCACAACTTCCTGAGCCTAGGAGAAAAACCCGTGTGTGCGTGTGTACTGTAGATGGCAGAGCCAGAGAAGTGGAACTTCCAAGACTCTTTGGAGCCCATACAATCATAAATGGGTGCTAGATATTAGGCACTAAACTTTCTACAATGGTAAATCTTGGTTTTGCATTAGTCTAATTGTGACAGTGCACTGATTCATCCTTCCAGAATAGGAAAGAATGTAAAGAGTTAATAGACTTTGGAATATTAGAGGATTTTGGATTTTGAAAGAGATATTTGGGTGTTTTAAAGAGACTGAACTTTTAAAACAATAGTAACCTAACAAGAATATATGTGGAAAGATCAGTATAGCTAGATATTCAAAGGCCAGCTTGCCTGGCCTACACAGCCACAAAGGGATCCTGTCTCAAACAAGATCAAAGACAAGGACTGACATGCAAGCTGTCCTCTTACTTTCAAACTCATACTGTGTCATGTGCATACACACACACACACACACACACACACACACACACGTGCACGCGCGCACACACACACACACATTCAAAAAAATAAAATGGCTAACTGTGTGGATGCAATTCAGCCAGTGCAGTCAGTAAATAAGAACAAGAGAAACAGGAGACGCCACAGCTGTTTTCCTCCAGAGCATTAATGCAGATAGTATGGAGAGGGGAATTTTTAGCCTAGGACACACTTATTATAATGCACCAAAATTAAACAGGCATGCTAAAATATAGATGGAACCTTAATAGAGACTTATAGAAAGACTTTTTCTATGATCAAATACTGTCAAAGAACATTGGAGCCAGACCCTTTGGCAACACACAAAAATGTTTATTATACATATTTAAGTATAATATATGTATGATATAATTTTAAAATGAAAGTAATGTTTTTAGTATAAAGACAGCATGCTAAAGACTCAGATGAATGAAGGTGAGAGTTGAGCTCCATAACCTGCAGGCAGTGCAAACTTGAGAGTCTCATGACTTTGCCAAGCCTCAGTTTGGGACTTTGTAAGTATGAATAGCTTTTAAGGGTGTTAAGAGGATTAAATGATGGAGTACCCAATGCACACAAGATACTCAAAATATTATTTTTTTCTTTCATAATGTATTTACAATTTAAATCCCATCTAATTACAAAGGGGGATTTGAAGCCATATTTTTGAAGTAAGAAAACAAAAGTAAAGATAAAATTGAATGTGACAGATACTGGAATTCATTTGTAGGAAAAAGGCTTATAATTTTATTTGATATGTATTTTTTTGGAGCTCCTGAGAATTGTTACTCTCTGAAGGAAAGATTTAGGTTCTTGAAATGAACATTGTCACTCTAAAAGTGCCCTTCGTTTTACAAGCTGTTACCTGAGAAATCCCTCTGGCACTCAAACATGTTGAGTTGGCTTATTTGCATAAAATCTGAATGGTCTGTTTGTAAGATGCCAGTATTTCAGAGTTGCTTGATTTTTTGTTTTTTTTTTTTTTTCAGTTTTTTTTTTTCTCACACACAAATCAATTTGGTTGTTTGGGAATGAATTAGATTCTACAGGCCTCAGTATTCAGGTAGAAGTCATTTAAATTTTTACTGTTAAAATGATGACTGGGGCCGGGCGGTGGTGGCGCACACCTTTAATCCCAGCACTCGGGAGGCAGAGGCAGGCGGATCTCTGTGAGTTCGAGGCCGGGCTGAACCGACAGCCTCCAAAACAATACAGAGAAACCCTGTCTCGTAAAAAAAAAAAAAAAAATGATGGCTGGGATGACTCAGGGTACTAAGTGAAGTAGGAAGTTAGGAGCTGAATTCAGATTAAATGAAGGTAAACATAGTTCACTATAAGAA